CGCCCTCGCGGAGAAGCCGCGGTCCGCTCTTGCAGGTGTCGCAGACGGCCCGAGCGCCCTTCGGCTCCTCGAGAAAGCGCGCGCCCCCCGAGGATAGGGCTGAGGGATAAGCCGAACGCTGGGGGCAGCACTGAGAGGCGTGGGTGCGAAGAGGCTGGCCTCGTTGATGGCCATACCTCCGCCGATGTAGCAGATGAGGTCACCCTCTGCTTTCCCGAGGTGCGCGCCTGTGCCTTGCTAGACCAGCAAGATGGGCTGGCTCGACCAAATACTCCAAATCCAGGAGCGCCAAGCGCAAGTGGAATTTGACTCCAAGGGCGGCCTCGGAGATGTCGCCCGTTCCCTCCTGGTCAGAGCACGGGAACACGCAAGTCCTGAGTTCCCTCACTGTGAGCATCATTAGGATTAGCGTGGCCCGCGCCTGCGCCAACTGAACCAAGTCGGCGCCTTTCCTGGTCCAACCGCTGAGCAGGGGGTTGGGCCCCGCCTGTCCGCGGAGGCCTCGAGGCCGCCCATTCCTGGGAGCGCGCGGAGCCTGCTGCTTGCACGGCGGAACGCCCCCATGCGCGGGGGGGCTGTTTCGCCGCGCACGTCGGCGTGCACTTCCCCGGGGTAAGACGGCAACGCCACCTTCAACCACGTCGCGGGCGGCTCTGCAGGTCGCCCGTCTGCACTGCCGCGTCGTCGCCCCATGTCGGTCCGAGGCCGCAGGCCCACATCAAGGCGGCCCACAGCGCACTGTAGAACAGATTGCCAGCATCGATGCCCAGGGTATAAGAAGCCTTCGTGACTCCACATCTTGCGGACGCATTGTCATGGGTCTGCAGGATGGTTGGCCATGCCGCACTCGCGCGGGCGTAGTCCACCCACCAGGTAAAGGACGGGGGCGAGAGGGGGCGCCTCCATAAGGACGCGGAGCGTGACGTTCGGCTGCTGGGCGAGCTTGCCCCAAGAGAAAGTCTGTGTCCACCGAGGAGTCAGCGTAGCAAGCAAAGCCCTTAGCCTGGCTTTCCCTGGCCCTAACCGTGGCACGGTCGATGTCGGAACCGTCGTTGGTCTGCTCAGGCGGGATCCAGCCCTGCAAGTCTTCGATGCAATCCCATCCTTTGTCGACTCCCATCCGGCAACGAGTCCCGAAGCACTTGTCATCCGCAAAGCGTATCCAGAGGTTGGCGGCCCTGCCGCGCAGTGCCCACGTGCTGAGTATGGACTCGCTGGCTGCGCTGAACATCCTAGGATCGCCGATCAAGACGAAGAAACGCTTGGCCCTGGTGACGGCGACGTTGGCGCGGTTGCGGCTGTCCATGAAGCCCCAGGTCGCACTGGTACTTGGACCGGGTAGTGAGGTAGATCACGACGTCGGCCTCGCCGCCTTGGCTGGAATCGACGGCGGGGACGGAAAGCTGACCGGCGCTGAGCAAGTCGGAAAATTCGCCCGCCACGCCGCTGTACTTTATGCCCAGGCCCTCATCGCCCGTGGAATGCTCAAGAAAGACGCACCTGGTGGGGTCTTGCCTTGGCCGTCGCTTAGGCGGTGCTGTCAGGCGTACGCTGGTGTCCAGGCTGGATGCGGCCGCAGCCCGAGAGCCCAAGGGGGAGCGGCTCCTTGGCTTGTCGGGGGTTCCACTGCGTGCTCCTTGCGTAGCTGTCCTCTGAGTACCTCTGGTCGGCGCAGTCCTAAGTTCCCGCGTCAGGTTACGCACGCTGGTTGTGAATATGGTCCTAATTTGGGGCCACCCTCCGCGTAGCACGCTTCGCTGTGCCGTGTACCCGCTGATAACTTTGATTGTGATGCCCGAGTCCCTCACGGCGGTGGTCAGCTTGCGAATTACGTCGATACACATGGCCGCCTCCCGGATGTTGGCGCATTCACTCTGCGTTGCCGAACACACATCCTGTAAAGGGTTGTCTATCAGAAAGACGCGGTGGACGTCCCGAGGTGTCATGTCGTGGATATGTATGCCTTCGATCTCCCGTAGGATTGCGTCGGCGTCTTTCCCATGGTGAGTGGCAAGTCTTCGGACCCGTGTCTCGTCGATGGAGCGGTGCCTTACCCAAGGTAGGCCCGGGACGATGGCGCGCTATTCCAGGGGGGCCGCCAATGCTGATGCGACCCTTCCTCCGTAGTAGGCGGAGGAGGGAAAGACCAGCACGTCGGGAGTCATCCTGAAGCACTGCGCAAGGTAAGCAACGGCCTCACAGTCCTCCCCCAGGGATACTTTTTGGTCTGCGGGTTCGCGAAGCAGGTCGAAAGCCGTCCGAACACTAGCCGGGCCGCGACTAGGCAGCAAGAAAAGAGAGGCAAGCAAAGTTAGCGCGCGGGCAGCCACTCAGAAGAAGAAGAGCCAGAAACAACACTCCCAACTCGGTGGCGTGGAGACCCCGGCGGCGACCATCAAGTAAGCGCAGCCAACATGACGCGGCGGCACGACCATGAACACGCAGAGGTCGATCACTCGGTGTGAGTCGGCACAAGGCCCGACAAATACGAGCAGGACCGACAGGCACACCCGTACGACGTCCGTGCCGTATGCGACTCAACAGCATCGCGTCAGCGCAAGAGCGAAGAGGGGCAACCTCGTCACAGACAGGTCTGCAAACAGCAGTACCTCTTGTTTGTACAGCAGTGGCACATGTCGAAAGCGAAGAAGTCCATGTAGGAGGAAGCAGCCGACGGGCGCACAGAGCCACACATGCCGAAGTCCTCGCACCGAAGAGGACGGCAGCGTAGCGAGACCCCACTGAACCCAAACGGACAACAGTGGAGGCCGACACCAGACAGGAGCAGGCCAGGGGCCACCTGACCGCCCAACCCCCAGGGATAAGCGAAGCGTCAAGAATTACAACACATAAAGTGTGGCGGAAACAACTATACATGAAAGGCAGTACCCCGACTAGGCACGGTCAGGGGTGATGGGAAAGGGGGGCGTAGCACTACTCGTTTTGAACAATTGCGGGGGGGACGGGGGAGGAGGGAGGAGGAGGAGGAGGAGGAGGAGGAGGAGGAGGAGGAGGAGGAGAGGAGGAGGAGGAGGAGGGAGGAGGAGGAGGAAAGGGAGGAGGAGGAGAAGGAGGAGAAGGAGAGGGAGGAGGGACGAGGGAAGGTGGATGAGGGAGGAGGGGAAAGGAGGGAGGGTGGAGGGAGGGAGCGAGAATGAGGAAGAAACTGTTAGGAGGTACCAGGGGGGCACGTCGAGAAGTGGGGGCTTCTGCGGGGCTCCGGGAGGTTCTCCGAAAGGGGGGTCACATTGATGCGTCCCTCTCACGGCAACCTTCAGTAAAAGGCGAAAGATTGGTACGAGCTGAAATGAACGCTGTGAAGTTTCTCCGAAAGGAGGAGGAGGAGGAGAAGGGAAAAGGGATGGTGTGGGGAGAGAGTAGGAAGGGGGAGAGGAGGGAGGAGGCGGGAGGGAGGGAGGGGGAGGGAGGGAGGCAGGCAGGCAGGCAGGGAGGAGAGCGAAGGGGCCACAGGAAGGAGGAACTTGGGAAAAATCAGGAGAGGAAGGGGAGGGAGATGGGCAGGGAGGGGGAAAAGGGCAAGCAGGAGAAGAAGGGAGAAGGAGGGAGGAGGGAGGAACCAGGACGCAAGGACCAAAGGGAAGGAAGAGGAGGAGGAGGAGGAGGAGGAGGAGGAGGAGGAGGAGGAGGAGGAGGCTGAGACTGAGACTGACTGCATCGGGGTGCAAGCCCCCGCTCGGCACTGCCGCCGCAAGCGCCACCAGGAGGTCCGCACGCTCCGAGCCGGCAGGGGGCGAGTCCCGCAGGGCCCGCCGAAACAGCCACCAGTACCCGAAAACCAAAATGCCAGGAGAACCGAACCCCCCCAAAACGGACCAGGACCCCCAGACAGGAGCGCGTGAACCCCCCGCCACCTTCGGGGAGGAGGAGGAGGAGGAGCAGAAGGATTAGGAGGATTAGGAGGAGGCGGAGGAGGAGGGAGGGAGGGAGGGAGGGAGGGAAGGGAGGAGGAGGAGGAGGAGGAGGAGGTGGAGGATGACCACTGCAAACCCAAAACTCACCAACGATGTTGCTATAAACCTTCCCTCCAGTTCCCTCTTCATTGATAGGCCCTCTAAAGAAATATTTTCACTGAGGGAAATGCCCCGTTGGAAGACAACGGTCTGGAAGTCCTGAACCATGCCAAGACACCATCCCTGGGACTTCCACACTGCGAATCAACGTTACGGTTGCGCCTGACGGTCCTAAACCGTGCCAAAAAACTCGTTCCTGGGACGTAAACACCGCGAATGAACGTGGTTGTTGCGCCCTGACAGACCCACATCGTGCCGAAACACATCTCGAAGACGTCAACCAGAAGAATCCTTGAAACGATTGTGACCTTCATGACGAATGTGCGCGGAGCTAAAGCGAGAATCACATCTTGAAAAATATGGCACTCAATACGTGAAGTTCTTGTTGCACCATGTCAGGACGGATGTGCGCGGCTCTAAGGCAAGACCACATTTTGAAAACGGCCCGCCATCCATCGGCGAAACTCTTGCCGACTTTGAAAGCGGATGTGCGCGGCGCCAAGACGAAAACCACATTTTGAAAACGGCCCGCCCTCCATCCGCAAAATTCTTGCAAAATGATAAAATGAATGTGCGCGGCGCTAAAACGAGAGCCACATGTTGAAAACTGCCCGCCCCCCATACGTGAAACTGCTGCAATTTCTTAAAACGAATGTGCGCAGCGCTAAGGCGAGAGCCACATGCTGAAGACCACACGCCCTCCATCCGTGAAACTGTTGCAAAAGTAAGCGTAAGCACCGTAAACGGTGGGGAAACCTCAAGCGGAACGCCCGGCCCGCCCTACCAACACGCATCGGGGCGCAACAGGGAGATATTTATGAGGAAACAGGAATGGAGGAGGAGGGAGAGGAGGAGAGCAAAAGAAAGTGGAGAGGGGATGGGAGGAACGAGGGAAGGAGGCAGGGGAGGAGTGAGGGGGTCTCGCCGAGAGGACCCGCGGCGGCGAGGAGGCCCCAGGACCGAGCCCGCTGCGCCAGGGCGGCCCGCGCGGGGGCCCGCGAGTGCTGCTCGTGCATCCTCTGCAGGCTCCGCGAGATGAGCCCTGCCACCCACGAGAGGGCCGCCAGGTGCTCGCCCGCGCCGAGGCCCTGCAGCTCGCGGACCATCGCCCCCGCACTCGGGAACTCGCGCCGGCCGCCGCCCGGGGATCGCTGGTGCCACTGCAGCGCGATCGGCTGCTGCCACCGCAGGCGCCGCAGCTGGCGCAGTAGCTGGAACCACTCCTCGGGGCGATGCTCGATCGTGCTCGGGACGTGTGCTGCCGCCAGCGTGTGCTTGTCCACCGAGGCCCTTCGGTACGACGCAGGCGCAGTATGAGAAGGGCCAGCACGGGCTGCGTGCCATCGGCGGAGCTGAAAGGGGTACAGTCAACCCGTGTAATCAGGATGCGCGGTAAGGATGCAAGGGCCTTGGAGGACCACATGAACACTGTTCGAACGAGGTTGGCCAGGGAAAGTTGCTAAGGATGGGCCGAAGGGGAAGGATGCGAGGGTAGCCTTGCCAAGACGTTGGGCTACCACACGTCCTGAGGATCATCGAGACATGCGACTGGCTGGTGGTGCGTTCCAGGATCGTTCTTGGCCCCTCGTCTCCGGAGCTCGTGCGGAGCGGCAGGAAATCGTGAAGATCCTGGAGATCCAGGAGCGTATCATTCTCACTACTTATTCGGGACGCAGAAGGACGTACTAGTACTATGTGTCCTCGTCGGAGGCGTGCGTCCGACCCGAACACATAGTACAAGCATCTTGTAGTAGGTCGTTTCCCAAACGGTGTGGCCAGAAAGCGCCCGCCACAGAGCGTGTACCGTAAGACTTCTCGGCGCGCGCGTCGCCCCCTTGGGGACGACGCACACGTAGTACTTGCATGTTGGGGTGATGCCGATATCATATCATGACTACTTGATACTCTGCACTCCTGCTCCAGGCCCTCTCCGTTGAGCTCCGCTCCGTCCCGCGTGTGGTTGAGGACAGCGCCCGGCATCTGCACGAGGGCGGGAAGGGATGGCGCCGACCTGCAGATGAGGCGCACCAGCTCGTTGTCGTCGTGCGAGCCCTCCTCCTCGAGTCCGAAGGGTTTCATGTCGGCCAGGCCGTCGAGGCGCGCTCCAGCGCCTGGCAGCAGCAGCCGCTTGGCCACCGCCTGCAAGACCGAGCCCCACACGTAGAACTGCCGCTCGACGTTCACTGTGAGGTGAGCCGACAGCTCGCCCGAGGTCCAGGCACTGTGGCGCGCCCGCATGGGCAGGTAGAGGACATCGCCGTTCTCTGTGTCCACCGAGGTGCAGTTCTCTCCGCTGCAGGCCAGCCAGTGCTTCCGCCCCACCAGCTGCACCATGAACGCGTCCATGACGTCGCTGTGCAGCCCGTAGGAGTGCGAGTAAGGCGGCGTCAAGTACATGTACACGTCCACCGGGAGCCCCAGCTGCGCCCTGAGCGCCGATGCCAGCTGGGCCGCCTCGGGGCACCAGCGGTGCAGCGAATTGATTACCAGCGCCTGGCCCTCGCCGAATGCCTCGCGAACCTTCTCCAGGCGCCCCTCGACCGGCACCGGCCTGGGAGAGGACTGGAACTCCCCTCCGAACCCAGCCTGCGCAGGCGGCGGGGCGGCGAGGGGAGAAGGCCAAGAGACGACATGGGCATCAACTTTCGGAAGGCCCTGCGGAGTTCTGGATCGGCGCTGGACCCCGGCTCCCCACGCCCCTTCCCTGGCGCGCGCGGAGCGCGCTGGGGGGCGGCGCTGCAGGCGCCGCCCAAGAGGGGTGGGGAGAAGGGTGCAGCGCCGACCCGAGAAGTCTGCGGGGATCTCCGAAAACTGATGCTCATGCAATCTCTTGGTCTTCCAGCAGAGCTCCACGTCATCGGCCGCCACCTGGCCCGTCAGGCGCAGCCAGGCCTCCACCTCTGGCAGCCCGATGGCCCGAGGCCGGAATAGATACACATCCAGCGCCTGGGGAGCCGATGTCCCACGGCCCCGGGAGGCAACGGATGTGGCCATCGTTGGCTCCACCCCAGGGCCCGAGAACGTCCACGCCCACTACCTCCTGGGGCCCTGGGACATCGCCTCCCCAGGCGGTGGACACACATTCCAGCCCCCGAGATGGGCACTAGGGGCTCGCCCCGGGCCACGTGCCGCCACTCGCGCTCCAGTCGAAGAACAAAAAGCGGCACACACATGAACAGGCGGGGCTCCGCGCGGATTTCTTGGATCGGCGCTGGGCGCCCCTGGCGGCGCCCCTGGCGCCGCCCCTGGCACTGCCCGCGCGCTCCGCGCGCCAAAGGGGCCCAGCGCCGATCCACGAAATCCGCACGGAGCTCCTATGGGGTCGGAGGATCGCGGCGCATCGTCGATACATCACGGAGGCATCGGCGATGCCTCGAGGACGTCGGCAATGCATCGGCGACGTTCGCGTGGACAGAATCGAGCTCCAGATCGAGCCGCATCGCCGATGCATCGCCAATGTATCGGCAATGCATCGGCGCGATGCGGCGCGATCCTCCGACACCATCTATTCGGACACCATCCGGGAGGCCTCTCCCCCACCCGATCCAGTGGGCGGGAGAGGAAGAAGTTCATACATACGTACATGCATGCATACATCTATACATATACATATGCACCTACAAATTATATACATGTACATATTCAGATGCATATCCACATACGTACACATAGACATAACCGTATGCATACACATATACTTATACATACAAAAATACGTATATATGTACAGAGACGTCTACCATAGACATACATATGCATACACATAGAGCTGGACATATGCATACATAAATACATGTACCTATGCATGGTACATGTAAATATGCAAGTGCGGTTGACCATGCATGTATATATATATATATGCATACGCATACACATACACACATATATATACATGTGCATGTGCATAAACAGATACGTGTGCGCATACGCAGACCTATGCATGTAGACATGACTATGTATATGAATATGTATACAAACATACATGTACATAATCACATATATATACGTGTGTAAACATACATGTACACATACGTCTGCATACACATATAGCTGAACAGGTATGAACATAAAGGCGCATATATCTATATACATACATATGCATGTACATGCACATGTGCATATACTTGCACATGTGCATATACATATACATATACACGTACACGTATACACATATATAAATATGTAGATGATTGTACACATCCTTATACAAATGCGTGAACACCTATAGATGCAAACATACATACAATACACATGTGCATAAAATCATCCGTCCATACATACATATACGCAGACACATACATATACACATACACATATACATTCACACAAATACACATGCACGTAAACATGCACATACACATACATATACACATGCACACATGCACACATACATAAATGCATGCATGCATGCATCCGTACACGCACACGTACATGCATACATACCTACATGCATGCATGTATACATACATACACACGGACAGACAGGCAGACATACACACATATCTACATACATACGTACCTACGTACATATATTCCCATCATGTTACGTACCTACCTACCAACATATATACATGCGTACATGCATACATGCATACATACATATGACACCGAAGAAAATAATTCCAACCTGCATATGCTTAGTGCTATAGGGCTATAGGGCTATATGACTATAGGGCTTTAAGGCTCTCTGGGGCTATAGGGATTTAGGGCTATGGGGCTATAGGGCTTTAGGGCTACAGGCCTATAGGGCTATAGGGCTATAAGGCTATATTCCCCAATCAGAGCTTGCCTCTGTAGGGGTCCTAGCGAATTCATATCGTTAAACTAGGTTTGCCGCCGTGCCCAGGGGTGCCCGGGGGTGCCCGGGTGCCCAGGGGTGCCCTATAGCCCTATAGCCCTATAGCCCAATAGCACTATAGCCCTATAGCCCTACAGCTCTATAGCTCTATAGCCCTATAGCCCTATAGCTCAATAGGCCTATAGCCCTATAGCCGTATAGCCCTGTAGTTATATAGCCCTATACCCCTATACCCTATACCCTATAGCCCTACAGCCCTGTAGCTCTATTACCCTATAGCCCAATAGCCCTGTAGCCCATATAGCCCTATAGCCCTACAGCCCAAAAAAGATTATGATTGGTGTTTGTTCTCCGGCATCATGACTATAGGGCTATAGGGCTATAGGGCTATAGGGCTATAGGATTATAGGGCTATAGGGCTATGAAGGCTTCAAGGCTATAGGGCTATAAGGCTATGGGGCTACCTGGCACCCGAGTGCCCACGGGCACCCAGGCACCTGGGCACCCGGGCACCTGGGCACCCGGGCACCCGGGCACCGCGGGCGCCCAGGCACCCGGGCACCCAGGCGTGCCGCCGAAATCGGCGCCCCATCTCACCTAACCATATGAATCCGCTAGGACCTCTGCAGAAGCTAGCTCTGATTGGGGAACATAACACATATATACATACATACGTAATTATACCGAAGAAAAACCATCGTAATCTTTTTAGGGCTATAGGGCTATAGGGCTATGGGGCTATAGGGTTATAGGGCTATAGGACCATAGGGCTATAGGGCAATAGGGCTACCCAGAGGCTTGAATTCTCGATAATCTCGAGGATGGGCACACTAGATCATCTAGAGCTAAAACTGAGAATTCTTATGATGCTATCTGATGTGCTCCGAAGCTTTTTGCTCCTCGCTACAGGCTGGCGGCAGTGGCCGCGAGCAGCTCCGCGACGCCCGCGGGCGTGCCGGCTGCGGGCGAGGCGGCCGAAGGCCCCCGCCCGAGCAGCGGAAGCCCGCCCGCCAGCGCGAGGGCCGCGCCCGGGAGGCGCATGGCGCGCGCACGCGTGCGCGGGCCGGCGGCGGCTGCCCCGTGTGGCGGCGCTGCGCGCTGCGCTGTGCGCGGCGCTGAACGCTGCTGGGTGGCGACGGCCCAACCCATCGTTGCTCCTGCATCGACGGGAGGCGGGGGCAGAGTTCAGATCTCGCCACGGGGTCCCATGAATTCCGCACCCCAGTACCCACCGCCGCCCATCGAATTACCCGAATCGTTGATCGACGAGGGTAGGGCTCGGATCTCGCCACCGAGCTGCGCTGGGCTCGCGGGTCGGTCACGAGCGGCGAACGCATCCGTCTCCGCGCCCTAGCGGTCTGGACTCCGAGGTGCGATCCCGCGGACACGCGGTCGCACGGACACGTTCCGCGCGGGGCATCCGCAGAAAAAAGCCCCGTATCCCGGGGGTAGGCCCGCGAGGCCGCAGATACGGATATCCGTCGGCAGGAAGAAGTGCATAGAAACATGAAGTAGGAAGGCGTTGTAAGTAGATTGCGATTCCGCCCGCCCGCTGAAGAGGAGGGAAGAGGAAAAACCGCCGATCCTGAAAGTCAGAAGGCGCCTAAAGTAGATTGGGACTTGGGCATCCAAAAATGCCAACTTTCAACGATCGACGGGTGTGCGTTTCGCCCACGAGGTCGGGCCATGAAAAGATCATGACGGGCAGCAGTCTCTGGATGGTCTCGGCCTCTGGGGGCCTTCGACGGACTCGGGACGCAAAGCGGGTCCCGAGACCCGTCGGGGTCTACGCATGGAGACACGACGTCGGGGTCTGGGCCGCCTGCGGCGGCCCCGTGGCAGCGCGGGCTCGAGGCGTTCCGCGCTGGCCGTCTCGACTCTGCGCTGCGCGCTCGGCACGCTTGGCGGGGGGGGGGGCGTCGACGAGGATGTGCGAGAGGCGTGCCTGGCCAGGGCCGCCCTGGGCTTCAGCACGGTGTGTAAGCCTTCCTGGCCGAGGCCAGGAGAGTCTGTACACCATCACAGGGCCTCGCATGGCCATGGCCAGCCCCCGCGCAGGCAGTGAAGGGGGCTTACGACAACCCTCTACTTCGCGCCAGCATTCGGCGCTGACGACGACGACGACGACGGCGACGACGACCGTCGTCGTTTGCCGGCGCGAGAGTGGAAAGATGGGGCACGACAAGCCCCACTCCCCCTCTGCACCAGGGGAGGGGGGAGGAGGGGGGGTCGTACCCCCTTCCCGCGGAGGGGGAAGGGGGTCCTATAATTTGAGCGACCCAAAAGGGGGTCCAGCTGCAAGGGGGTGGTGCAATAGATGGGGCAACTGTATTGCAAATGTTTTGCGCCAGAGAATTGTATTGCATTGTATCGCAAGTCATGCATTGCACGCGAAAATCCAGCAGTGCATTTACGCCCAGGAATGTATTGCACGCCCCAGATGTGCTGCAACTCCACAAATCTATTGCACCAAATCTATTGCACCACCCCCTTGTCGCTGGACCCATTTTTGGGTCGACCCGATATAACTAGTGGGCCCTAACCTCCGACCCCCCCTGCAAGCGACCACAGAGCGTTTATTTCTAAGTAAGACTCCTCGGAATCCGCCTCAAAGCCTCGCTCCTCTCACTGCTTCCTCTCCCCCTTCCCCTCCTTGCAAAGAGGTCTCCAGGGGTCTCCCAGAGTCTCCAGAGGTCCATGGAGGCTGCCAGATGCCTCCGAAGGTGCCTGGAGACCCAGAAGCCTCCGTAGTCCGCCCTCCTTGACGAACGACCATCCAACATTGAACCTATAGGAGGTCTGAACTCGCGCCTCGCCCTGTGGGGGCGCGCTTCAAATTCGATTGCATTGGTGGAGCCCGGGAGGGCACCCGTTCGAGCCCGGACCCCCCTCCAACATCTTCGACACATAGCCCCGGTGCAGATTGGGCCTCGAGATGGATCTACGGTCGCGGGGGCCTACGGGGTCCAGGGCTAATTGCTGGCGGCACGCACGGGGGGGGGTAGGGGGAGGGGGGAAGGGCTCTGATGAGGAGGCTGCTTCTTCGAAGACGCCAGCCCTACATCTACAAACAAGGCCCGCGCCTTCGAAGACACACGGGCGCTTCTGAGAAGCCTTCTGACTCCCGTCAGATCGTGACCCAGGTGTCGGGGCGGGGTGACGGAGACCGCAGCTCCAGAAGAGGAGGAGGAGGCGGAGGAGGCGGACGAGGCCGAGGAGGAGACCGAGACGGAGGAGACCGAGGCGGAGGAGCCACCCCACCCCGAGGCCTCCCCCTACCCTCAGCCTCCCCCTCGTCGTCGCCGCCGCCGCCGAGGCAGACAAGAGCGCGGCAGTAGCGGCCTGGCGCTTGCCGGGGAACGGCTCTGCCGCCGCCGAGGAACTCCTTGAAGTTCATCGTGATCGGCTCCGACTGCTCCCTGCCCCGCGCGCAGCAGGAAGAGTGGAGAGGAGGCTGGCCTGCCCCAAGAGCGTCCAAGAGGCCCCCCAAGAGCGTTCCAAGGCGGCCAGAGGGGCTTACGAGGCCCGCAATGAGGGGGCCAATGAGGGGGCCCCCGAACTGACAGTTCGAGCCCAGCGCCCTGCAATCTCTGACTCGCAGCGGCTACTGGCCATGGAAGGCAGAGGTAGCGCCTTCCAGGAGGTATAGGCATCACACAGAATAACGTTCTCCAGGCACGCCAGCGTGCATAGTGAGCGAGGCGAACCGTGATACAGACGTGGCACGAAAGTGCCTCCAAGGAGAAAAAGTGGGAAGGAGAAGGGGAGCGGATCATTTTCTAGTCGTAGCGGTGGCGAACGGACAACGCGTCCGTAGTTCGCCTAGGCGTTGGCGCTGCTGGGCGAATTGTACACTAGCAGTCGGGAAACAGAAGATGTCGGCAGCGGAAGAAGAGAACGAAACACAGGTGGGTGACGGGGACGGGGACAGTGAAAGTGGGGGAGCGGGAGGGGCAAGAGAAGGCGGGAGGGGAGGGCAGAAGAGACTGGGAGGAGGACAGGGGGAGAGAAAAACTGAGAGAGCCAAGGCCGATGTGAGAACGCGCAGGAGACCGGGGGCGTCCGAGCGGGGGGTGTCCAAGAGGGGGGCCCACAAGTCATGGCCAGTGGCACGTGCGCGGACGAGGGGGGCCAAGGGACGCATTGAAATGGCGGGTTCGGGAAGCCCTGAGCCCAAAAATGTTGTCATCTCTTGGGGGGGCATCTTCTGCTCCTGCTGGCTTCCGCCGAGCTTCCGCCGCCTTCCGCCCGCGGAACCGCCCTCGTCTTACTTCCGCCAGCTTCCGCCGCCCGTCCGCCGCCCTTCCGCCGAGGAGGAGATGACAACTCCTCCGATCCTCGAAGGCGGGGCCGTCTCTGGAACGCCTGGCATGCGAATCGAGGCCCTGAGAGATTCGGGGAGACAGCCTGGCCCCGGCGAGCGGCGAGCGCTGAGCGCGAGCACGAGCGCGAGCGCGAGGGCGCGTTGCCTAGGGCTCCCAACTTCGCGCTTCGCGCTCCGCGAAGCGCGAGGCGCGAATAACTTCGCGCTCTCGCGCCGCCCCCCCAAAGGGAGAAAAGGAGGACGAGGAGGAAGGGGAGAAGGAACGAGGACCGCGAAGCGCGAAGCGCGAATAACTTCGCGCCCTCGTGGGAGCCCTTGGTTGCCTCGCGAGGGCGGGGGCGACACCGGGGGGAGCGGCGGGGCCTGCACAGGACGCGGAGCTCCACCGCCGGCCGCTGGTGCGGGAGCTCGGAGAACCACGCGCCGGGCCGCAGCGGCAGGAAGAGCCGGGCGTCCTCGGGCGCGGCGGGCGGGGCTCGGATCGGGGAGACGTAAGACCTGGGTACGGGGGACTCGGAAATCCCCGACGAGGTCGTCAAAAAAATGACGAGGCCGAGCCTGCATTTTGACGAGGCCTCCCGCTGCAGACCTCCCACGAAACTCCTCCTCGTCAAAATCCGAGGCGCGGTCGTCAAAAAACGATGGCGAACCCGAGTCCCGGCAAACCCGGGTCTTACGCTCCCCCGATCGGAGGCGGAGCTCTCGAGGGGCGGGAGGCGGCACGGAGCACACGCTGTCGGAGATCCGCGCGGGTGTCTCGGCTCCGTGCTGGAGCCCCTCCCGCCAGCGCGAGGGCCGTGCCAGGGGGGGGGGGGGGCGCAGCGCAGATCCATGGGATCCGCGCGGAGCTGAAAAGTCATGTTCGTGCGGTTTGTCTGCTCCGAGGAGTGGGCGGCCACGCGTGAACCCTAGCGCCAACGAGCCAAATTCTGGATCACGAGCGGCGAACATGCCGCGCCCTCGCGGTCTGGACTCCGAGGCGCTATCCCGTGGATACGCGGTCGCACGGACAGGCGGTGGCTCAGGGCACGCGGGCTAAGCCCCATACCGGTCCAGATCGACGGGCTGCGGGAGGGCAGGGTCCAGATTTTGCCACTGACCGAAGTTTCATGCAGGCCCCTACAGTCAACCCGCATGGTAAGGATGAGCAATTTCCAAAGGTTACCCTTGCATCCTTGCTCTTCGGCCCGTCCTTGGCCGCTTTCGCTGGCCGCGCCCCGCTCGCAGAGTGTCGACATGACCCTCAAGGGCCCTTGTATCCGTATCGTGCGTCCTGATTATACGGGTTTACTGTATGGAGTCGGATCTAGATTCGGGTCCGAAGCCAGTCTTCTGATCGGAATCGGATCCTGCTTCAAGCTGGCTGGCCCATCGCGAGGGCCCCTCGAGAGGGAACCGAAGCAGAGAAAGGGGGGGGGAGGAGGAGAGGGAGGCCGAAAGAATGCGGAAGCGAGCACATCGCGATGGCACACAAGCCTGCGCCGAATCCGTGGCAAGGTCAGGCCTCCCTGGTCTGCACACGCTAAGCGTGTGACTTCGACCCCGCCGCAATGCCGCGGCAGCGATCACATGATGGCGGCGGACCGCAAGAGTACCTCCCCCACGGCCCCCGACGCAGCGCGGGGGGATCGTGGACAGCCAGGGATGTGGCGGGCCCCGAGGCGAGAGCGCAGCTCCGAGCCGAGGATGTCTCCGGCACCGGCGCGACAGCACCATGCCGGCCCAGGAAGTGGCCTGCGCGAGGGCGAAGGCAGCATGCACTCCGAGCCGGGAGCGCGGGCGGCACCGAAGCGAAAAGTGCTGCTCCGCGCCGGGCTGTGGCCTGGCACCGGGGCGAGAGCGGCCTCCCTTCTGAGCCAGCACCGCGGCCAACGTCGAAGCGAGAGCGCCGTTATTCCGAGCCCGGCGACGTCGAAGAATGGGGCTCCTCTCACGAAGGGCGCCCATCCGGCGGCGACGGGGGGGTGCCGAGGCCTCCACCAGCACTCCCCAATGGTGTTCCGCCAGAGCTCGATGCCTTGTTACGCGCTAGGAGGATGCAAGGGGTTCCTTTGCAAATCAGATTGGGGCTCACGCCTCAATGGCAAACCCTTAGGGTGGTGGTGATAGGCCGCTTGTTGTGGTGGAAAGAATTTGTTAAGGACCAGTGGAGAAGGGGGCTTGGGACGAGAGGGTGTACTGTAGCATCGTTGATGCATCTTGAGTTTACTCTGGCCCTTCTACTCCACCTCCTTCTCCTTCTTCTGCTCCTCCGTCACCTCTTCATTCCTCCATCCTCCTTTCTCATCTCCCTCCATCCCCACGGAGTCCACACCACCACTCTAGGACGAAGGCATCCAGGAAGGCCCAGTGGGGGCCTAAAGACGTCCAAGAACCCCTATCCCGAAGCCTCGATAGCCAAGCCCCGACGACGAGAGCTCCTCTCGATGACTGGAAAATAACGGACCGCGAACGGCCGGATGGGCACACTTCATGTCAGCGGATTCCCGAAGCTGCGAGACTGAGCGTTGTACATATCATCACGGCCAGGGGAACAGAAGTCCCAGGACCCCAGGGGGCGGCGGATGCAGACATCCACCGCTCCCGGGGGCCAAAGAGACTGCGGACACGCAACACCATGACCATGCCCATACAGACTCCAACCTCGGAGAAGCGATCACGCGGGGCCGCAGGGCGAACATCGAGTCGGACGAAACAGCGACCCAACTCACGTAGCTGATTTTCCCAGTGCCTTCCGGCGCTGGAGGCGCCGATGTGTCGAGCAAAGCGCCCAACGACGGGGCCAAAACTGGCTGCATGCAGCAGATTTCTGACCCCTGCCTTCCCTATCCCCCCGTTTCGTCCGACCCAAGAACGGACAAGAATCAACAACAAACAAACAAAAAACAGCGGGAGGATTGTGGCCATGTTCTACATCTCGGGGCCCGCACCAGACCCCAGGACCGCCAAAGGGCGAGTCGGAATCGAAGGAGGTCCCTGGGAAGAGGTCCAGACCTCTGGGGGCCCACAGTGTGCAAAAATGCAGCACCGGGTCCTGGCCGTGCCCATCCTGCGCCCAGCACAGGTGCGTGCGCTAGCAGGGCTTGGGCAGGGAGGGATGCTCGGACTGCCCTGGCCAGAAGCGGTGGTGGTGGTGCGTGGCCGGCGTCCCCAAACGGCTGGAGAGGAGATCGAGCAAGACACCGGGGAGGAGGCGAAGGTCGGGGATCTACTGACCTTGGTCAATCCAACCCCCGTTCAGTCAGGCTTTGAAGGATCCTGCACCCAAACCCGGGTCAATGCAACCCTGGCTCTGCAAGATCCTGCAAGATCCAGCCCTCTGACAGACTCCTGTTTGCATTGACCCCGTCGCTTGAGCCTCGACGAAAAGAGGGAATACCGCGACCGGGAGGAAGGCCGCCGACGCACCGCTCTCGCGAGGCGGCCACGCAGGGCGCCGTCCTGGAACGAGATCTTGTAGGGATCCACCACCATGAGGCGCTTCCACGCCGCCTGTCGGTCTGCAGCGTGGTGGCTGCCATGAGATACCACTCGGCTCGATGCCCCCCCGTCAGAAAGACGGTATGCTCCCCATGTTCCCGTCGTCGCATCATCCCCGTCCCAAGAGTTCATCCTCAACCCTCCCGATAATATCATCGTCGCCACTATGATCAACAGCATCATCGTCCTCACTGATCGTCACCCTCCTAATCCTCTTCATCGTCCTCCTCTTCCTCGTCGACATCCTCCTCCTCCTCCTCCTCCTCCTCCTCCTCCTCCTCCTCCTACTCCTCCTCCTCGATCTGCCGTACCACCCACGGCAGGACCTTGGGGCGGTGCATCGGCACGGTCGACGCGGTGACCCCGCAGCACCTCGCCTCAACAACGTACTGGACGGGGTAGACGTCTTTGTCGTCCTGACGGGGCGAGCCACCGACGAGGAGGGGAGGAGGAAGGGGGACAGGAGGAGGGGGATGAAAGGGAGGGGGAGGAGGAGGGGGAGGAGGAGGAGGAGGGGGAGGAGGAGGAGGGGGAGGAGGAGGAGGAGGAGGAGGAGGAGGAGGAGGAGGAGGAGGAGGAGGAGGAGGAGGAGGAGGAGGAGGAGGAGGAGGAGGAGGACATGGACGTCCACGGCGACGCCAAAGCCGAAAACCGACCGCAACGACAGAACAAAACCCAAACCGAGCGAAACCGATAGACCGAGAGCAGCCTGGGAGGACGCAGCGACGCAGCAACCAACGGAACCGAGACGACCGAGTGCAACCTACAGCGAAGCAACCGAACCGACCGCGCCGCGGACACCCTTGGGAGGAGGAGGAGGAGGAGGAGGAGAAGGAGAAGGAGAGGGAGGAGGAAGGCTTGAGAACACGGATTCAAGGGTTCTGACGGGTTCAGGGAGTCTGCGCGGAGGAGATGGAGGAGGAGGAGGAGGAGGAGGAGGAGGAGGAGGAGGAGGAGGAGGACCAAACCCGGGCAAACGGCGATGTTGCTTAACGGCGAGGTTGAGAATCTGATGTTTGAGACCCCCCGCTCGCAGTGTAAACTCGATGAATTCGGTGCCATGGCACACTTACTTCCCATCTTGACGAAACAAGCTTCAACATCCTTGTTCAAGTGTTCCGGAACGCTTACAGGCGTCAAAGCCGTGCGCGCGCCGCACGTGTAACTATCGCGCGCGCTCGTTTGAACTCGGACGTCGTTGCGACGCAGAGCCCACGCAAAACGAAATGTAGGAAATCACGAACCACCGTTTCAGACATTTCAAATTTGCGAATGTATCGAGCGAAAATGACACCGCGAAATGTAGGAATGCACGAACCACGCTTTCCTACAACAGGCTCGGCCACCAACAACGCTTTCCTTCAATCGTTTTTCCTGCGTCGCCGTTATCCGCGTCGCCGTTTAACCGTCTACGGCGCGATATTATAAGTTCGTAGGAAATCCAATAATAAATGCAAACAAGGCTGCTTTTCATGCAGGTCGCACCTGCGAGACACGGTTCCCCCGAAGCCAATGCCGCCAGCACGCAAGCCAGCCTCACCTACAATACCAAAACCTACATCGCCGTTAGCTACATCGCCGTTTGCCCGTCTACGGGAGGAGGAGGAGGAGGAGGAGGAGGAGGAGGAGGAGGAGGAGGAGCACGAGGACGAGGACGAGGAGGAGGCGGAGGAAGAGGCGGAGGAGAAGAGGAAGGATGGAGAGGAGGAAGGGGAAGGGAGGGGGAGAGAGGAGGAGAGGAGGAGCGGAGGGGGGAGGGAGAGGGATGAGAGAGAGGGTGACTCCCGAGGTTAGGCATGACCCTCTGGGAGGTCGACCGGGCGCTTCGCCCCCGGCCATCCTTGCAATTCGGTGTCGCTGGAGTTGGGAAGTCACACCTTCCGCTGACGACGGTACTTCTAAGTTCGTACGTAAAGGGAGGGGGTCACAACCCTCCCAGGCGTTTAGACCCCCCGCGAGAGAAGCCATGAAAGGGCGGTCTTTTGCCCAGACCCCCTGGAACCCTCCATGAAAGCACAAATCATCAAAAAAATCAGACCACCCCCCTTTCATTGGGAATCCTGAGTCCACATGCCATATGACGAACCTGAAACTTGTGGTCAATATGCGCACTCTGCAGGCCATCTTATAACCACGCATGCCAGCTCGGACTTGGCCCAGCCTGGTCAAAATCTGAAAGGAGGGGAGGGAGGAGGGAGGAAAGGGGGGACTAAGGAGCGAGGAAGGGCAGGGGGGAGAAGGGGCAGTGGGAGGGAGAACTGCAGAGGCAGGGTGGGGTACGAGGGAGAAGGGGGAGGAGACAAGGATGCGGAGAAGGAATGGGGAGGGCGAGGGGGGGGGGGGATTTCGAGGGGGGGTGGGGCGAGGAGGGAAGGGGTGGTGCGGGGGGGGGGGGAGAGGGAGTGGGTGAGGGAGGAGGCGGGAAGCAGCGGGGCAGGAGATGCGAGGAGAAGTGTGCAGCGGCGCGAGCGGGAGGGGGGAGCGACTCCCCCGTCCTGTCCCCCGACCTTCTGGATTAACTCCCTGCTCTAGCCTTCCTCTCTCCTGCACCGTCCTCGTAGATTCCCCACCCCTACTCCCCCCTTTCCCTCTGCACCTCTGGTCGTTTCCCTCGCGGTCTCCCCCCCGACATACGACGTTGCGATTGAAGCTGAGCATTGTGAAAGATCACGACTGGATCTATAGATCTCCGCCTTGTATTGGACGTTTACGTTTCACGCCAGATCGATCCATGAGGGCCCAGGGGGCCGACACGAGGCCAAACAAAAAGTTCGGGGACTTTCACGACGCAGGAATGTGAAGGTCCTCTGTCCTCGCGCCCCCGCCCGCCATGTGAGTGCCCTCCCCTCCTTCCCAGGCCACGATAACGACGAGGTTGCTCTAACGGTGGTGTTAGGAACCAAATTGCCGGAAATCACGAACCGCACTTTCCTACATGCGAACGCATCGAACGAAACCGGCACAGCGAACTGCAGGAAAGCACGAGCCACGCGCTCCCACAACACCGAAACCTACATCGCCGTTGCCTACTTCGCCGTTGGCGCGTCTGCTGCCTCGCTGCCGCTTTCGCCTTTCTTCCCCTCCTCCTGCCGCCGGTCAATTTGCGCTTTTCCATTGCCCGAACCCTCTGACCGCACGTGCGGACTGCCACTGCCAGCGCTGCGATTTAAAGATTGACGTCGCGCCCCCCCCCTCACAGATCCCTCGTAGACCCCGCATCACCTCGCCGAGGCCCGCGGGGCGTGAAAGCCAGGGAACGCTCTCGATGCCTCGTCACTGTGCACCCGCCCAGGATGCCCTCGTCCTTCGCGTTCTGATCCGTCTCGGCTGATGAGCGAATGTTCGGTGGACCACGGTTGCGGGATTCGCGGCGGCAGCATCAGGGTGCTCACATACTGATGGCCCCATAGAAGCAGATCTTGCAACAAAACGGGATACCATCCTTATCCACGCTGGTGGATCGCTGTGCGAGTGTGACCTGGTCGAGCCAGCCGGAGGCACTCGGAGAAAATGGCCATGCCGTACCCAACTGAAAAGGCCTCCTCCCGCTTACCACCCTCCCCATCCCGCAGGGGGGAAGACCAAACTGAAAAGACACAGCCAGCCATGTTCAAATCCCACCAGCTCTCTGGGCGGAGGTGGTTTCACGTTTCTTCAATTCCCTCCTCAAAAACTCATTCGTTCCCTGTTTTGGGAGGGGGGGGTACCCCTCCTTCTGCCTCTCCCCCTGGACTGGAAGGGGTCTGGGGGGGCCCATGTGGCAGACGGCCCTTTTGGGGGTTTCAGATGGCCCCCAGGAGGCTCCCGACGTGCCAAGGTGGCCTCCACGGTGGCACAAGATAGCCGACGTACCTCCGAGACCCCCCAGGACGGCCCCAAGACGGCTCCAAGTGCCCTCGGAGCCCTCCAAGGAACCCTCCAAGAGGCCAAAATCGTCCAACAGCCTTACGGTCGGGAACTGTTGCTTAGCGTGTCGCGGCGGCGGCCCCGGCGACACGCTATGCCCTGCGAGCGGATAGCGTGTCGCTCCGCTCCGCGGGGCGGGAGGCTTGAGCCACGGGGCGCAAGATCGCCCCAAGAGGGCCCCAAAGGCCCTCCCCCCGAAAGAGCTCCCCCTCTCCATCACCCCGTCCACCCCCTCCACCCACCCACCCCCTTGCAAGGTCTGTCAGGGTCCAATATTGTTCCAAGATGGCTTTATGGCCCAAGATGGGATCATCCTCCTCCTCCTCCTCCTCCTCCTCCTCCTCCTCCTCCTCCTCCTCTGCCGCCTCCTCCGTAGTATCCGTTCCCCTTCAGCTCCCTCCTCCTCCCTCCTCCTCCTCCTCCTCCTCCTCCTCCTCCTCACAGCAGTAGCAGCATCAGCATCATCAGCATCATCAGCATCATCGCATCATCATCATCATCTATCAGCATCATCATCATCATCATCATCATCATCAGCAGCAGCAGCAGCAGCATCCATCATCGTCATCGTCATCATCATCATAATCATCATCATCAGCACCATCATCATCATCATCATCATCATCATCATCATCATCATCATCATCATCATCATCATCATCATCTTCATCATCATCATCATCATCATCATCAGCATCAGCAGCAGCATCATCATCGTCATCATCAGCAACAGCAGCCTCATCATCATCATCACAATACCATCACCCAACAATCATCGTCATCATCATCACCATCATCATCATCATTATCATCATCAGCAGCATCACCATCATCATCGTCATCATCAGCAACAGCATCATCATCATCATCAACAATACCATCACCACAATCATCGTCATCATCATCACCATCATCGTCATCATCATCATCAGCAGCATCATCCACATCATCAGCATCTTCGTTATCATCAGCATCAGCATCATCATCATTGTCATCAGCATCATGATCAGCATCATCATCATCATCATCACCATCATCAGCATCATCAGCATCATCATCATCCTCATATCATCATCAATGTCATCATCATCAGCAGCAGCATCACCATTATTCGCATCACCATTTGCATCATCATCAGCAGCAGCATCATCAGCAGCATCATCCTAGCATCATCCGCATCATCATCATCATCATCACCATCATCATCATCATTATCATCATCACCATCATCAGCATCATCATCATCAGCATCAGCACCATCAGCATCAGCAGCATCAGCATGTGCATCATCAGCAGCAGCATCAATCATAACCTTCATCATCAGCATCATCACCATCATCACCACCATCATGAGCATCAGCACCAGCATCATCATCATCATCATCATCATCATCAGCATCATCATCAGCATCAGTATCTGCACCATCACCACAATCAGCATCATCAGCATCGTCATCATCATTTGCATCATCAGTAGAATGGCCAGCATCGCCATCGCCAGCATGAGCATCATCATCAGCAGCAGCATCCTAACCATTGTCATCATCATCCGCATCATCATCAGCCTCATCATAGAAGTAAGCGCCGTCGACATTACAAGCAGCATCACCATCAGCATCAGCATCAATATAATCATCATGATCATAATCATCACCATCATCCTCATCCTCATCCTCATCAGCATCAGCATCAGCATCAGCATCATCATCAAAATCAGCATCAGCATCATCATCAGCAGCCGCATCATCACCATCACCATCAGCATCATTATAACCACCACAACCACCACCACCACCACCATCATCATCAGCATCGGTAGCATCATCAATATCATCAAAATCCTCGTCAGCATCGTCCTCATCATCATCATCATCATCATCAGCAGCATCATCATCATCATAATCACCAACACCATCACCACAATCATCGTCATCATCATATATCATCATCACCATCATCACCACCAATACCATCACCACCATCACCATCACCATCATCACCATCATCATGGTCATCATGATCATCATCAGCATCACCATCATCGTCATGATCATCATCATCATAACAGCATCACCGTCAGCATCATCATCATCATCATCATAGTACTCGTCGTCGCCAATATAAGCATCATCGTCATCATCAGCATCATCAGCAGCACCAGCATCATCATTATCAGCAACATCATCACCATCATCATCATCATCATTACCATCACCATCACCATCACTGTAAATATTGCTCGTCAGCGTTTCCTCGAGGATGTCCTCCTCAGGACAATCTCCATGGGCATCGTTTCTGGATGGGCTGGTGGGGATGCGCAAAGTATCAGCACTTTCTGGTGGACTCTCTCTCGGTCGCACCCGCAGACGTCCTCTCTTTTTATCACCCCTGGAAGCCGGTCTCTATCACGGGACTTGACAGCTTCGAGCAACTCCACTCCCTCCCCTCCACTGCATTCGTTCCTCTGCTCCACTCTTTCACATCCCGTCTCATTAGATTACGACCCCTTCTCTCAGCCGCGGACGAATCCGTCGTCTCAGGACCGATTGGGAAGTACAAGTCGCTGACGACTATTTCCACGAAGTTGGCGACGTGGTCGATGAAGAATCTGGATCGGCTTCGCTTTATAGAGCATTCTGCGCGCGAAGCACGTGTGGTACGCCCGAGTTCGCGCGAAGTGGAATCCCCCCCTGATCGGGCGAGGCCGTACCCACTCCCATTCTGCAACGACCCTCTTCCATGACCACCACCCTCTGTTGCCATCACCGTCCGTGGCCACCCCCATTCGTGACCACCCCTGACAAGACCGCCCCCTTCCATGATCGCCCCCACCCCATCCCATGGTCAAGCCCTTTCCAGACGCCCCCCCCAACCCACCTCATTCCCGAAGATTGCTTCCCCCCCATCCCTCGTCATCCTCCTCTACCTCCTCCACTTCCCAACCTCCCATCTCCCCCTTCTTCCCCCACTCCCGTCGCACCCAGGGACGCCCTGGGTCCCCCTAAAACCTCTAAAGCATCCACGACCCCCTTGGCCACCACAGTCCTTCCCCCCCCCGTCCCCGACGCAATGCAAATCCTCGTCCTCCTCCTCCTCCTCCTCCTTTTCCTCCTCCTCCTCCTCCTCCTCCTCCTCCTCCTCCTCCTCCTCCTCCTCCTCCTCCTCCTCCTCCTCCTCATCTTCCTCATCCTCCCTCCTCCTCCTCGTCCGCCTCCTCCTGCTCCTCCCTCCTCCTCTTCCTCCTCCTCCTCCTCCTCCTCCTCCCTCCCTCCCTCCTCCCTCCTCCTCCCCCATCCTGTCCGCATACGTCTACGGCCCTGGCTTCTGCATGGACGCGACACACGGGCCAGAAGCCTGGAAGGAGGCAGGGCGTCGGGAGGCGATGTTTATCATCGGTTGGCCCCTTCCCCCCTTTTAGGCGGCGTGAAATCATCCTCCTCTCCCCAGCAGCTGCGCCGAACGCGGCGCCAAGAGCATAGAGTCGCCTACAGTCCAGTTGCATAATAAGCACGTGCGGCAAGGATGCAAGGGCTTGGAGGGCCAAGTTGGCGTTCTCGAGCGGGGCTGGCAAGCGAAAGTTGCCAAGGAGGGGCCGAGGGGAGGAGGGGGAGGAGGAGGAGGAGGAGGAGGAGGAGGAGGAGGAGGAGGAGGAGGAGGAGGAGGAGGAGGAGGAGGAGGGGAGGAGGAGGAGGAGGAGGAGGAGGAGGAGGAGGAGGAGGAGGAGGAGGAGGAGGAAAAAGGGCCGAGGGCAGCCGTGGAAAATGGCTCATCCTCCCTTCTCGCTTCTCCCTCCTCTCCCCGTCTCCCCGTGCTCCCCTGCCGCTCCCCGTGCTCCGCCGGCGTAAGGAATGCTCGACCTCCGAGCCTCGAGTGCCCTCAAGGAGCCGCCCATCCATCGGAGAGCCGGAAAAAAACGCGGCCACCTCCGCTCGATCAACTTTCTCCCCCCCGTGGGCGGGAAGCGTATCCGGATCCACGGCATCGCGGCCCAGATTCCTCGACCGCGACCCCGTGGACACAGAGAAACTCCGCGCCCTCCCCGCGCGCGGCGTGCCCACCGGATCGCGCCCCCACGGGATCGCGCCTCGTGATGTCCAGACCGCGAAGGCCTGGATCTGGATGCATGCGATCGTCAATCGTGAGTGCCCTCCGCAGGTTCCCCCCTCCCACTTCCCCCCCCCAGGCTCGACGCCATTGAGAGAACACGAAACAAACAAACAAACAAACAAACAAGCAAGCAAACAAACAAACAAACAAGCAAGCAAAGAAACTACAAAAGTGTGGCCTCTTGCGCTCGCTCAGCTTCGGATCGAACCACGCGCCGCGGTGCGAGGTGAAGAGCGCGGAGATTGGCCCGCAGCCCTTGGGATCAGGAAACAAGGCGCACCCAAGCCCTCTCCTAAAGCTACGTCCTCCCTCCTCCTCCTCCTCCGCCTCTCCTCCTCCTCCTCCTCCTCCTCCTCCTCGCCTCCTCCTCCTCCTCCTCCTCCTCCTCCCTTTCCTCTCCCTCCCCTCCTCCTCCTCTCCTCCTCCTTCCTCCTCCTCCTCCTCCTCCTCCTCCTCCTGCTTCCGCTCCTCTCCTCCCCTCCTCCTCCTCCTCCGCATCCTCTCCTCCTCCTCCTCCTCCTCCTCCTCCTCCTCCTCATCATCATCATCATCATCATCTTCATCCTCCTCCAATGGTGCGCAGGGCTCCTGTTGGGTAGTCGGGTGAGGACGCACAGGGCGCCTGTTAGGAGACCGTCAATCTCCGAAGAGCATCTCACCCGAGCCCTTTGGAGTTACGCCACCGGGGCGACACAGGCAATCCAGTCATGCGTCGACCCCCTCATGCTGGGTCATTGGCCCCTCATGCGTTGACCCCCAATGCCAGGGCTTCGGCCTTTCATGCGTTGACCCCTCATGCATTGACCCCCCATGCCGGGGCCTTGGCTGGCCCCATCCTGCGTTGACCCCCTCATGCTGGGGCATTGGCCCTTCATGCGTTCGACCCCTCATGCCAGGGCTTCGGCCTTTCATGCGTTGACCCCTCATGCCCTGACCCCCCATGCTGGGGCCTTGGCTGGCCCCTCATGCGTTGACCCCCTCATGCTGGGGCATTGGCCCTTCATGCGTTGACCCCTCATGCCAGGGCTTCGGCCTTTCATGCGTTGACCCCTCATGCCCTGACCCCCCATGCTGGGGGCCTTGGCTGGCCCCTCATGCGTTGACCCCCTCATGCTGGGGCATTGGCCCTTCATGCGTTGACCCCTCATGCCAGGGCTTCGGCCTTTCATGCTTGACCCCTCATGCCCCCCTCATGCTGGGGCCTTGGCTGGCCCCTCATGCGTTGACCCCCTCATGCTGGGGCATTGGCCCTTCATTCGCGTCAGGGTGACCTTTCTGCGTTGACCCCTCATGCCTTGACCCCCCATGCCGGGGCCTTGGCTGCCCTGCTGCGTTGATCCCCTCATGCTGGGGCATTGCCCCTCATGTGTTGACCCATGCCAGGGCTTCGGCCCCTCATGCCCTGACCCCCCATGCTGGGGCCTTGGCTGGCCCCTCATGCGTTGACCCTCTCATGCTGGGGCATTGGCCCTTCATGCGTTGACCCCTCATGCCAGGGCTTCGGCCTTTCATGCGTTGACCCTCATGCCCTGACCCCCCATGCTGGGCCCTTGGCTGGCCCCTCATGTGTTGACTCCCTCATGCCAGGGGCATTGGCCCTTCATGCGTTGACCCCTCATGCCAGGGCTTCGGCCTATCATGCGGTGACCCCTCATGCCATGACCCCCCATGCTGGGGCGTTGGCTGGCCCCCCATGCGTTGACCCATCATGCTGGGTCATTGGCCCTTCATGCTTGACCCCTCAGCCAGGGCTTCGACCCCCCATGCGTTGACCCCTCATGCCCTGACCCCCCATGCTGGGGCCTTGGCTGGCCCCCCATGCGTTGACCCCCTCATGCTGGGGCATTGGCCCCTCATGCGTTGACCCCTCATGCCAGGGCTTCGGCCTTTCATGCGTTCACCCCTCATGCCCTGACCCCCCATGCTGGGGCCTTGGCTGGCCCCTCCTGCGTTGACCCCCATCATGCTGGGTCATTGGCCCTTCATGCATTGACCCCTCATGCCAGGGCTTCGGCCTTTCATGCGTTGACCCATCATGCCCTGACCCCCCATGCTGGGGCCTTGGCTGGCCCCTCCTGCGTTGACCGCCTCATGCTGGGGCATTGGCCCTTCATGCGTTGACCCCTCATGCCAGGGCTTCGATCCCCCATGCGTTGACCCCTCATACCCTGACCCCCCATGCTGGGGTCTTGGCTGGCTCCTCATGCGTTGAACCCCACATGCTGGGGCATTGGCCCTTCATGCGTTGACCCCTCATGCCAGGGCTTCGGCCTTTCATGCGTTGACCCCTAATGCCCTGACCCCCCATGCTGGGGCCTTGGCTGGCCCCTCCTGCGTTGACCCCCTCATACTGGGGCATTGGCCCTTCATGCGTTGACCCCTAATGCCAGGGCTTCGGCCTTTCATGCGTTGACCCTTCATGCCCTGACCCCCCATGCTGGGGCCGTGGATGGCCCCTCATGCGTTGACCCCCTCATACTGGGGCATTGGCCCTTCATGTGTTGACCCCTCGTGCCGGGGCTTCGACCCCCCATGCTTTGACCCCTCATGCTTGGGCATTGGCCCTTCGTGCGTTGACCCCTCATGCCATGGCTTTGGCCCCTCATGCCCTGACCCCCCATGCTGGGGCCTTGGCTGGCCCCTCATGCGTTGACCCACTCATGCTGGGGCATTGGCCATTCATGCGTTGACCCCTCATGCGAGAGTTTAGCATGCCACACCATTGTTAGGGCACGGAGCTGTAAAACATAACCCTTGCCTTAAACGACAGCCGTGACAATCCTCCTCCTCCTCCTCCTCCTCGCCTCTCCTCCTCCCCCTCCTCCCTCCTCCGCCCTCTTCCCCCTCT